TCTGTAGAGAGTCGGTAAACTGCTCCTTCTTCTTAAAATAATTTTGTGTTGTGCCGGGAGCAAATGTCTACCCTTCCATTCAGGGGCCTTGCTCTTAATCAATGCCTCAATGTAGTTGGGAGGCATGCTTTCTAAGACAGCAATGGCAAATTTTCTTCCAACAAGGTCAGTATCCGCCATTTTTGTAAAGATTAATTGATAGAGAAAACCATAATCAAGGAGTAATTGTGGAGTTAACTCAATGATTTCCCCTTCATATAAAAATTGAATGGGTTCATAGGAGGATAGATCTAGAGAAGCTCTGCAAATGCTATAGACGAGTTGACATTGACAGTCATACCTATCAAGTGGAATCCCATCTGCAGTTTCTCCTTCACACCTATTACACCTTTTGAGTTTTCCTTATGTAGCAGAATAATAGGTGTCCCATGAGAAGCCTATACCAGATCGGTTAATACCATCTTCAGCTATTTGTTGAAGGAATTGTTGACTTGCCTTCAATTTAGCATGGCTTGAAGCTTCTGCTTTCTGAAAAATTAGCTGTCTTGAATCATCTGGCAGCTCGGATAAGGGAACATGTGGATTGAAATACATCCTGAGTTACCTCTGAGCATCATCCATTAATGGAATAGATGTAGAAGTTGAGGAGGATCCTTCGATTAAATATTGATTAATTCCCAGTGGGGGAACTAATTGTCTTCCACCTGCTAGTGGGGCTAAGGTGGTCTTCATGATTTCATCTGAAGGTTCCTGCAAATCTCGAGAAAGATGAGAGCTAATGAAAAAGCTATCTCCAAGATACTGTTGAGCAAATTGGATAGCTTCTTCAATTAGATAAAACCCTTTATAGAGTGGTTTTCTAAAATCTCGTATTTGGAACAAGATCTCATCCCACTTCTTATAAACTCCAGGGGTTTTTCCCTTGATTAAAACATAATAATTAAATTTATTATATTTTTTCAAATACTAGGCTAAAGTTTTTAAATTGTTCTAAAAAAGGTTCAAATTGCCGAAGCTCTCCTGAATGTTGTTCAGAAGTTGATCAGCAACTGGATCCAAATTGAGACCTTCTGTACAGGACCTAGCTCTAGAGGTGTTGCCTCTATCGCTGGCTTTGCCTGAAGTCGAGCGCCTAATTCTGATCCTGCACAAGAGAAGAATAAACATATCTGCTTAGCCAGTCAGCAAGATAATTATCTTTACCTTTAATATGTTCAAATTTTACTTTAAAACCATTTCCAGTTATGATATTTACAAAATTCATCCATCTTTT